TACGCGTGAAAGGGGAGTAACAAACACAAGTTTATATACCAATACGATAGACGCATGGTAGGGACAGCGTTTCCCGCTTGTTTCGTAGTTCATATTTTGTCCATATCTGAAAGTCCATCACTGAAGTCACACACGCTTTGAACAAAAGGTAGTGAATAGCCTTAATAAATTTTCCAGGTAGATTAAACTCTCTATTAATTTTTGATGAAGTATACTTTCCATATGTTACTTTTCTTTGTACTTAAACGCTATAGATGTGACTTAGTCTTATCAAGAGCCTTTAGTGATCTTTATGCAATTGATATAATCAGCAAATCGTCTACGTATACCACAACTATTATGATTGATTTTTCTATTATTTCTACAAATACATGATTAACTTTTAATCCGATTCTTTTTTATTTTTCACACATGTTATTTGTGCTACTCGACAAAACTGTTTTAGTCCGTACGATGTCGTAAAGGTTTTATCATTAGTATCATCTTTGATGAATATGAATGACTGCTCATAACTGCTCCCTATACATATGCATAATGATGTCCATATGATGCACATGAAGTTTCTACACTGATAGCAAGACATATATGTCAAACATGTATCGGGCAGAGACAATTTGAACAAATGAAAAAGTATGAATTCAATCTGCAAACATCCCCTACGATTTCAATTCAACAAGTAACATACAATAGACTAAAGCTTCTAAATTATTTAATTATTTTATAAATAATTAAATAATCTAGTCGGTGGACGGAGATCACAACCTGTAGTCAATCAACTATATATTTGTTTCTTCTCTTATTATAATCTTTATTCACATGCATTATCTTAAATAGAATTTTTTTTCACAGCCTCTTTCGCTGTTCAGTTCGCATAATTCTTGCTCTATCTCGGCACTGTTTTCTGGTGTTCCACATTTTTAGATTTATTTGTCTCTGTTCATTCAGAATTACCATTTTTAATTGACACATCATCTAACTGCTCTGGTGAAATGCCTCTCTCATTTCCCCGTAGGTAAATTATATGAAAGGTAAATTAATAGGTTGTGAGTAGTTTTCAGCATTGCCCTGAGAAATGAGTGATAAATCAACAAAATTTGAGTTTTCAATCAATTTTACATGCCAACTCTTGATTATCTTTACAGTCCTAGGTTTTCATAATCTGTACCTCTCCAACTTATTATGATAATAACGAAACTCTTGAAGAATAATGATTCAGTCAATTGATCTGATGACAGCGATACAACTATTTGCATCGCACGTCCTTAATTGTAATTTCGCAGTTTCTAGTTAGTATATCTTTTAATAGATGAAAATCAGTGAGTAATGTCTTCATTGTCGAAATATTTATTTTTAATTGAAATAAAACATACGAATTATTTTTTCTTTATGAAAATAAAACGAGATGATCGAAGTACAGTAGCCAGAAAACAATGGCAACGAAGTAATGCCCATAGGTGTCGAGTACCTTTATTCTTTGCTGACGAGCCCGAATTATGTTTCAGGCAATTCGAATCACAAATCGCAATGGCAAATATCAAGATGGATTCCACGAAATTCCACTATGATCTATCAAGTCTCCACATATAAGCTATGAGAGAAATCTATCCCACTCTTATAAATTCGCCACGAAAAACTGAAGTTCGAACTGATCGAAAATTTTTGTTTTGTGATTCGCTTCTGGACGATCCTTAACAACAAATGGGCATCGATGAGACGCGCACTAGAATCAAGAATAGTAGACCAGCTGTCATCTCAGAACTTCATGAAAGTGATACTTTCAGGCAAGGACAACTGGGAAAAGAATGGCTACATATGTTGAGGCAGTGCTACAACAACAAAAAAACAAGATAAGAACTAAATGGCACAAAATAATTAATAAGCAACGGCGAATAAGAACAAGAGCCTTACGCGAAGTAGCATGAGATATCAATTTGAAAAAATATATATGATGCTAGAATGGATTCTATGTCTGAAGTAGAAGTAGCCTTTTAGTGGGTCCTACACATCAGAGAGCAAATAAGCTCTTTAATAATGCATAACACATTTTCTCCTTTTTAAAAAAAAATTAGTATCATTATTGTTTTAGTTTAAATTGATCTTTTTCCAATTTAGATGATTTTTCGAACCTTGACCAAGCATCAGTTAATCTTTATAATATTTTCTATTGTAATTGTATAATATCGTACATATGTTAAATATCGTGGCTTTCTGGAACTCTAACTAGATGTATATCTTACTGCTACTACTGCACGTAACTATATGAAAATATATGATTGTATAGAACTTCTGGAAATTATTTTAATTTACAATATAATGATATTGAGAATTTGAGTGATTTTTTTCTTATTTGTACGTTATATGATTTTACCTGATGCTCTCAGGGTCATATGAGAATTCATTTTCATTATTCTAGATAAATAATGACAAAATAATAAAAAACATATGAAGTATTTCAATCACTGATGACCACTATGGCTCCATTGAAGAAACAATCTCTGGTCATAAGTGACCAATATGACACTCGATGTGTTAATATCTCATTCTTATACTACCAATTTTCCTCTTTCTCTTACAAATCCCCTTTTGTCTTTTCTTCTTATTTCTTCCCTTATCGTCTATATTTCTATAATATTTATCTTTGGAAAAACAAAAAAAAGAAGAAAAAAAATTTATAAAATTGATTACATGTATAAAATAAAAAGTCATTACCTTGAAAGAAAAGATACAATGAAATTTAAAGTAGCAATTTTTATAATAATTTTTATTAAATTTTTATAATTGAAATCAATCATTTTAACCGATTGGTAAATTTAATATTAACTTCTTGATTTTCTCCATCTTTTTCACATTACTTTTCTCCACATTAAGCAGTAACTTTTCTATTTCCTAACCTCTCACCTATTTTCTTATTTGCATCACCACCTGTTTCTTATTGTTTTCCTCTTTTTTGTTGCAATTTTTAACATCTTCTATTATATCATTTTCATTCAAAAAATTTACTTTTATCTCCCTATTTCTCCGAAGATTTATACACTCTTTTATCACCTTTTCGTATTTCTTTTACTTTTATTTTTTTTCCTCTGCATCTCCAATCTTCTCCTTACTATATCTATTCTTTATCTAATAAGAAACTACATTCTCAATATCAAAAATCATCAATATTAATATATTTTCATATTTATATTACTGATTTTTTGTTTCTTATTTCTTTTTCTATTTTTTTCTTTCTTTTCTTCTCCTTTCCTATGTAAATTTATTAAAGGAATTATCTTTCTTTTAAATATACCTCTTTTGTCATTTTCCCATATTTTTTACTTTTTACATATTCTTGTAGTTAACTTCTATAAATAAAACAAATCCTCTTTTCTTATATTTGTAATTCTTCTATCTTTAGAAGTCCTTTCCAATTTGTTACAAAGTAGTTAATTATCAATATTCTTTTCATTCCTATATACTTTTCTTCTTTATCCATCTTTACTTCAAAATATTAATTTTGTATATATAAAATTATAAGTAAAAAGTAATATTTTAATTGAGAAAAAATAGTATACATAGAAACATAATATTAGAGTAAAAAATTAATATATCAATGGATTAAACTGATTAAGTCCACTTTTGGTAATTTTTCCCATTTGAATACCAAAGCACACGCATAAATATTCAACTAAGTATAAATAAAATAGTTTGATAATATCTATTCATTATATAATATTATCTTAATATGGTAAAAATTGTGATTTCTACCGAATAATAAATAGCTTGTTTTAGAAATTAATTTGATATATATATTTTTATATATTTTATACATTATAATATAAAAATTACATATGTTTAATTATATATTAAAAATTTTTTGTTTGTTCATATAATTTACACAAAATTTTTAAAATCATTGTATAACTTTAATCATTTTCTCTCACTTTTATTTGATAGAGTTAGTTAATTTGATTTCTAAATGGTTTTTGTATTTGTAAGTCCATCTAACTCTTTCTTATCTGTTTTTCATCCTGCTTTCTTCAAATTTATAATTGTTCTTATATTTACATAAAAACTGTTTTGTTTATTGTGCTTTATTAATTTTGTCAATTAAATCTATTTCTAACCTTACCTTGATCATTTGGAATTAAAAGTATCTTTAAACTTGTATACTACCATTTTCTTTATTTTACCTATTATCTAAACGTCTACATTCTGTATACTATTTCTTATTCTTACTTATTATTCTTTTCTCAAACTTCTTTATTTAACATCTTTTCATGTAATTATTAAGCCTCACACAAAATTTACTCCACTAACACATTTTTATCTAAATTCTCATTTATAAATAATGACACTAATAACTCTATTTAAGCTTTCACGCATATTTGTAATTAATACATATATTAAGTATACATATCATATATTATGTATAAAAAGTATCTCAATAACTCTGTTACAAAGCGACACTTCCGTTAATCTTATTAATGATACTAGGAAATGCCGAAGGAGCGAATTGTTTGATTCAAAGAAGTAATTTGGTATAAATTGAAAATCACGTGAAAGTCATGGTATTATAGATTGTTAAACTCATCTTGATTTTAACTATAGTGTCTCAATGATAATATGTCGTATATTTTTTAATTTCCTGGATGACCTTGAAATCTCGAAAAGAATAATCTTAAAAAAGAATTGATTCACATTATAATATATACTCCTTTGAACTAAACAATTCATTCCTTCGGAATTTTTTTGTATCATTCAAAGTAACAGAGATATCGCTTTGTAATAAAGTTACTGATACACCTATATATGCATATATATTAATTAATATGTATACATATAATATATGCTTCGGACAGTGATCTTCATAATGCGACTGAAATACTGCAATGTCATCTACACAAGCTTGAAAGATGGTGCTAAAAGTGGTGAATCAACATCAACGAAAATAAATCGGCACATGTAACCTTCATGCTGAGAAAGGGCATTTGCCCTCCTGTGACAATCAATGGGACAGTAATTCCAACCAGGGATTCTGTCAAATACTTGGGTATGGTACTTGATAAAAGACTGACATGGAAAAATTATTAAATTATAAATAATTATTAATAAATAATATTAAATCCAAAACAACCTATCTGAAGGAAAGAGTAAGAAAGCTATATTGGCTCATTGGGAGATCATCTAAGTTAAGTCTGGAGAGCAAGCTCATAATATACAAAGCCATTCTAAAACCCATTTGGACTTATGGAATTCAACTATGGGGAACCGTTAGTAACTCTAACATAGAAATTCTACAAAGATTTCAATCAAAAACCCTGCGAAACATTTGCAATGCCCCTTGGTATGTAACAAACGAAAGAATACATATTGATTTAAGAATTCCTACAGTCAAGGAAGAAATTGTTAATTTCAATGAACGCTACAATATTTGTCTAGCTAAACATCTGAATCCTCTAGCAAATAAATTGCTAGTAACCTCAGAACTAGTACATAGGCTAAAAAAGTTCTACACTTCTGATCTAGGAAGAAGATTTAGTTACTTTCTTTTTTTTTGTAATTAGGTTAATTAATCATTGTAATGTCGTCTTGAACTCATGTCAATATATCACGTCAGCAAAAATACTTATAATTCTCTGCGAGAATTGATTGTATATTCCTCTATTAATAAAAAAAAATAAATAAAAAAATAAAAAAACATAATATATTAAACAATTTAATATATTCGATTTTATTTATTTTTGATTTGCGTTATATGTTAAAAAATGAATCGTGTAATTTTCTGTTTTCTTTAACCTTGACAAGACTTGATGCATCAAAACGATCTCAGCAGTAGTTAACCATATTGTAGTTCGTTCAAGGAGATATCAAATGTAAACAAATGCACATGATCAAATGTGATCGGATCAGGAGCGTACTTATAACCTTTAGATATTATATTATAATATTATAATATTTTTATGACGGAAAACTTACGAGAATTTATTCCTATATTTAACAATTAACTATCATTCAGCATCCAATAGCTGGTGTCCTAACACTAATCACATTCTTAGTACGTGATTGTTTCATTTAAATTTCTATTTTGTTGAACGAGCTATAGGTGGCGATTTTCTTTATAGTGTATGTTACGCTATTGAGATAATATGATACAGTTTCGTTAAATATGTGTGCGTATGCTACTTGTCAGTGCCACTTTACTATTTAAGCTAAATAAATCCTAGTTAAATCGAAAAAAAATGCAAAAAAATTTGATAATGCAGCATTTCTTCTATTAAAAATAAATAAAATCTTTTAAAGTGCTTTGTATATACAGATACTACAAGAGACTGCAAAAATACTTGTTATATTTGCTTATTTCTTCTTATATATTGCTTATTACGAAAGTTAATAAAAAAATGACAACTGTCACATCATTAAATTGGAATTGTGAACGCATCTTAGGAACTGGAGGTTTTGGAATTGTAAAGCTATGGGTTCATAAACCAACCGGACAAAAACTGGGTAAATAAAATATGTAAATAGTAAAAATACGATTATATGTAGCAAGTGCATTAAACTTATTCTATGTATTCTTAAATTTATAATTCGTCAAAAAAATTATAATATTAATTTAGTAATTATTTTTTTAGCAGTAAAACAATGTAAATGGAATGATACACAATTAACAGCAATACAAAAAGAGCGATGGACTAGGGAAGTCGAAATAATGAAGCGCTTAACACATCCTAATATTGTAAAAGCAATACATATTCCATTTAAACTTCTGGATAAAGATAAAAGCATGCCTGTATTATGTATGGAATATTGTACAATGGGTGATCTTAGAAAAGTAAATTTTTTATTATTTTTATATGTGTCTACACCATACTTTAATTTTAATTATTATTGTTTAATTTTTTGCTTTTTAATATTGATTGAATCATACTATCACTATTATAGGTTAAAATTGTTTTTTTTTTTTTATAATATCTGTCAGGTCTTGAACAAACCAGAGAATTGCTGTGGTATTAAAGAAACAGATACCTTAAAAATAATAAGTAATATTTTATTGGCTGTAAAGTATTTACACTTGCATAATATTACTCATCGTGACTTAAAACCAGAAAATGTAGTTTTGCAACCTGTAAAAGGCACAGTAAGAATATATTATCTAATCTTGTAGAAAAAAGTTTGTAAAACTTTTATACAATATTTAAAATATTTTATAGGTTTTATATAAATTAATAGATTTGGGATATGCTAAAGAAATTGGAGAGACAAGTACATCTGCGTCTATAGTAGGCACGTTGAATTATGTAGCTCCAGAACTTCTTTGTAATGAAAAATACAGTTGTTCTGTTGATTATTGGAGCTTAGGAATACTTTTCTATGAAATAATAACAGGAAAGAGACCATTTTTACCACTTATGCCACATACAATTGAATGGTAAGTAGTATATTTACAGAATAAATATTCTTTATAAAAATCATGTTTATAAACATTCTATTATTAACTTACACAGGATGCAAATTATTAAAAATAAATCCAATGATGATATATGTGCATATGAATGTGAAGGAAAAGTAATATTTAGACAAGATATAGAAGATCCAATAGATCTGTCTAGGTAAATTTTATAAAAAAAAAGTTTGGTTTATTCTATACACAATTATAGAAGAATTTATTAAATATAACTTTTATTATGATTTATTTTATTTTATTTTATAGTTATATCAGATCTGCGATGGTAGAATGGTTTAAAGTTGTCCTTCAATGGGATCCTAAGAAACGGGGTAAACAATTAGATGTAAATGGAACATTTGAATTAGTAGTTTTTAAATTACTTGAACCAGCTCTATTACAGAAGGTATTTTTAAGTAAGCAACAATTAAAAATATGAAATTTTTCTTTTTTATACAGATGCAAATAATAGAATAGAATTTTTCGGAATTATTGTTTCTATGCTTTACATGTTATTGTTTCTATATTTTACAGGTTCTGTATGTGTATTGTATGTATTTATATAAGATTAATACATATGTAATTGATAACAACACTACACTTTCAAATTTGCAATTTCTTATAGAGAAAGATACGAATATTTCAGTAAATCAACAAATATTAACTGATTATTATGGGAATATCCTTCTTAATGACACACCAGTTCTTGCACAAATTAATGTACGTATTAATATAACATGAAATGTTTTTATAATTTAAAAATAATTTCATTAATATAGAACTCAATGTTATTTGTCCTGAAAACTGGGGATATATTAATATACAATATACCTGTACTAAGTATGCCTTACCTAACACAAAAAATGATAGAACAATCAAAAAGTGAACTCGGTTTTGAAGCATTAAATGATTATTATCGTGCAACCATATTCATGATGAAACAGGAGTTGCATTTTTTCAATTTGTATATTTTTGCTTTATCCATAGAAGTGTAAGTTCATTCTTCTTATTCTTTACTTAATTACATTAAGTAATACATACATTACTTAATTGTTAAATAATTAAAACAATGCAATAATCTTATAATAAAAAGGTATAATATTTCAGAGATTTAATAAATGCAAGACTTGTTAAATTTGGAAAATGTATGGAAAATACATTACAAAGTACAAATTTATTAGCTGCAGAAGTAACTTCTTGTCAAACCCATTATGTTAATCAAGAAATAAAAAAAGAGAAAATTGAAGCTTTGGAAGAAAATTCTAAGAAAGTAAACAAATTACTAACTGCTGCTAATCAAATACAGTTACAATTTACTAGTTTTAATGAAGATAATAATGTATTAAGAAACATTGCCCAAAATATTTCAATAGAAGTTTTATATGAAATGTAAGTAACATTATATATTTCAATTTTAATGCTATATTATTCTAGAGAAAAAGATATCGATATTTATTACTAATGAAATATTTTAAATAAATTCTATAGATATAATAAAGCTTTAGATATATATAAAACGTTTAAGGAGACCTTTAACCGTATTGGGACACCAACAAAAATGGTTAAAATACTTTTTGAATTCATAAAATTACGAGAAGTTCAATTTCGTGAAAACAAAATCATTGAATTTGCAAGGTATTATGTCTGTTTAAAAACATTTATTATTGTAATTAAAACAATAATCAAGAAATATTTTTCTTGTTATATTGAATATAATCATGATTTATATTACTTTGTACATTAAGAATTTTTTTACAGTCAAATAAATAAACTAGAAAATGAACTTTTTAAATTAGAAGGTTCATTCGATTCTGTAATAGTCATGACTAAAAAGTATCAAGAAGATTTGCATTCTATAATAAAGGAAGATTCAGATATGGAACTTTCATCTAAAATTGATGAGATTACTGAGCCTAATAAATCTATAGAACGTCATGATAGCTTAATATATGAAAATTTAATAGTACGACATACGTGAGTTTATTTTACATTATGTTTAATTAATACTAACTTTCTACAACAGTTTTATGAATTATATTTATTGTATAGGATGGATAACCTTATGACAGAAATAGAGAAAATATATCAGGAGATAGGCTTGATCCATAAAATGAAAAATAAATTTTGAGTTATACATAATACGTGCAAAATATAAATATTCATCAACATTTTTTTAATAACTAATATATTATTCCACTTTAATTTTACATTATATTTGTATCAGAAAGTTGTATTGAATTAACTTTTATTACAATAAAAAAAAAAAAATAATAGCATGTATCCTTATCTTACTCATTTAATATTCACTTCTTTCTCAGTTCTAAAGAATGTATATAATTTCAATTTATTCATCCTTTCTAATTCGAATAGAATATTAATTCATATTGTTGAAATAGAAAAAAATATATATCTGTCATAATGATTTGTAATCTCCTATAGTATAGTAAGTATGGATCTTTTTTCTACGATTAAACCATAAAATATTTACCAGGAACGGATCCTAAGGAATATGAATTCATTTAAAGATTATGATAAAAGGGATTGTGATTCTATAAAATAAAATAAAAAATATTAAAATAGATAAGGTTAATTTATTATTCTAAACTGGGGTGAATTAAATGAGTTTCTATTTAATCTATAGAAATAATTTTGGATTCAAATATTTTTTCCAGAATTACCATAAAAGAAAATGGGATAAAGAAATAAATATGAGTGTAGAAAAAGTTTAGATTGTAGGATTGTTCAGAAATTATATAAAAATATATAGTAATTTTGTATAATCTTTTCGTAGAAAAAATAATTCTTCAATTATTCATCTTATTGTGTCTTTTAAAAGAACCGGGTGTCACCTTTTTTGAACTTGTTATCCTCTACGTAAAAGAATAGGCATCTTTTCTGAATTGAAGCTGTAAATGTTTAATGCACCAATGCCTATGTAACAAATAATCGAATAAAAATTCTAATTGAATCTATTTTGATTACTATATATATTTGTCAATTTCAAAATAATATTGTATATAATGAAATTAAAATTTAGAAATTTTGAGTATAGAACTTACTATTAATCGTAAATTATAATTAAGTACTGATATTAATTACAAAATAATGAGATTAATCTTAAACAATAAAAATTTCGACTAAACTAAGTGCAGATACCAGAATAAATTAGACACAGATTAAGATATTGTTGACAGTAGACTTTAAAATAGATCTTGCCTCAATTCTTACATATATTTAAAAAATATATTAAATATGAATTCATTTATACATAAAAACAATGTAAATATTTTCATTTTCATAAATTCTTCATCGGAATGTTTTTGAGCATTTCTATTGGTTTAAAATTTAACCATGAACTTTTTATAATTGAGAATATAGAGAAGTTCGACTAACATAAAATATATCTGTAAAAGAAATCTAGTAATTACCCTAGAAAGTACATTAGAACAAGAATTAATTTTAATTAATAAAATTTCGACAGCAAATAATACAATTTAATACTTAAAGAATTAAGGAACAATAAGACACTAAGAAAGGTTTACAAAAGAATTTTAATAAAAAAGACGTGTATTTCATCTTTTATTTTTAGCACGTCACAACGATCGCATATACTTTCATAATCTAGTTGCTACTGATTGGTCTTGATACTTCCATTAAAGACCACTCATTGGTTAGCGTCCTTTTTCTGAAAGAACTTCATTCTGGTGATTAAGATGTAAAGTCACCATATATTGAAAAGATAGATAATTTGCGTAACCTATAAGTTTATAATGTATCTATGTAAGATATTGACAGTTGCTTGTGACTGTTTATTGTTCGAAAGATTTTTTTAGGGATATGCGCGCGAATAGATTTAGGATTCAAAAAATCCTTAATCTTCAACCTATAGAAATTCAATGTAATAAGTGTTCTTAAACTTATTTTAGAATTATATTTAAATAAATAATGTAACAAAATAATGAGAAAAAATGAAAAAATGAAATAACTAAGAAAAAATATTTTTTAAAGATACTCAAATATTTGCGAATATTTTTAATTTTGTGACTTAAGCGAATATTTGATTTACGCATTTCTAACTCTCAACGAGGAATATTTATGGCATTAAACAATTTAACGTATGTAGGATATGACAGACATCGATATGTATATATCTAATTGTTACAAATAACATATATTTACATATACATATATATATATATATATATATATATATATATATATATATATGCTAAAAGAAAATAAGTTATAATGAAAAAAATATATGAAACTTACATTTATCATAAGTAATAATATATATTGTATATAAAAGTAAATGTACAGGAATACTCATAACTTTAAAAAAAGATAAATAATTTATATATTACATATATATAAATAACATAATATTGATTTTTATATAGATTTATATTCATATGTTACTTCATACATATAATGTAAATTTATTACAGTAAAGATTTGCATTGTAAATTTCTTTATAAAATGTAGATTAAAATGTGATAATCTTGTAAAAGTATAATTAAATGTAATTTTATAAGATAAGATGTTACTTATAAAGAGCAAGTGACTAATATTTATATACTTTGTTTATACTATACATTTTTTTATGGTAGAAGTTTTTTTATTAAATTTTTTCTTGATTCAGATTTTATTGTTTATTACTACGAATAATGTATAATTATAGTAATTATAAATTCGATTTCTTTCAGCATATACATATAATACATAAATGTACAATACACCAAATTTTAATATCATATCTTTGTATGTGTACTATGTTATTATTGTTATTAAAAACTATATACAATACATATTTTTTGTAATATACACAATAAATCTTTTATTATTAATATATTTAATTATTTGAATATGATTTACAAATCACGAAAATTCATATAATATAAACACGAAAATAAGATTATTGGTATATTATAAAATACACAACCCTATGCACGTTTGAGATTAAAAATTAAACAACGATCTTAAAATAAATATCATGTTCTTTATTTACTATTATTTTCTCGTCATGGAGAAATATTACACACCATACTATTTCCTAGATTGTCCACATACATCAACGATTATGCAATTCCATGTATAAAAGACAAATTTACATTAACTTAGCAAGTAAAAAAAAAAAGAAATGAGGATTTGTAGAATATCCATTCATCCGATCATATAAGATAAATAGATATTATTCATTATCACTGATATCTTCGTCAGTTGTGAACTCGGAATGTTCATCCACTGCATCCACATCCTCTGCAGTTTCTTCATCCGAAATATCCCATTGAGGATGTTCTGTTGGTACCTCGGGAGCTTCTTTTACATCCAACTATCAATCACATTAATTTAATGATTTGAAAATAATTAGTAAAAAAAATTAATTTTTCAATCTAATGTACCTTAATATCTTGTGCCTGATCAAAACCAAGATATGAATCGCTACGTAAACATACTGTAAATGTATATAGTCCCGGCCAACGAGGTGCTGTAAAACGTAATTGTACCTCCTCCGAATGTGCTAAAGATGTAACATGTACTGGAGTTGTCAGCAAAGTTTGACTTTTGCGATCACAGATATAAACCCACCAATATTCTTGTTTAATATCAGGAAAAAGTGGACAATGTACTTCGTGTGATAAATTACTTCTTCCTTCTAAAACTCTTTCTCTTTTTGAAATTCTTTGTTGAAATCTATAAATAATAATATGAAAAAATCGTGTCTTCATATTTTTAATTTATATACATAACTGAAAATAATTATGGAATAAGATTAAAATATTTAATGATTTATTATAAATTATTACCTTTCCCATTCTGTATCATCATCATCAATACTCATATCTTTCTTATCATTACTGTCTTCATCATCACTTCTATCGCTATCAGCTTCACTATCACTAACATCAGATTTTTCTTTGGAAGACTCTTTTTCTATTTTGTCCTCTTTCTTTTTTGTATTTGGTGTATTACTTTGCTGTGTACTATTATTACTCTGTTGTGTTGTTTGTCCTTGTGCTTGTATATTTTTTACAGGGGCTGTTTTCTTATTGGTACCTTTTTTGTGAGGTTTCTTCTGACCTTTCTTTTGTCTAAGCCATGCTGGTTTCTTCACAGATTGATTTTGTTCTTCTGAACCTTCGTTAACTTCCCCACTTACTTTGATGTCATCTATCATAGTTTGTTCCTTAACAGTGTCATCACCAAATAAATGTTTCATGTCTTTACGTGTTAATGATACTGTTACGGTTACTATAGCACCAGCAGTATATACCGTTGGATTTTCATCATCAATTACTAAAATTCAAATGAAATATTAATTGGTTTAATTGAATAGTAATCTTATTGTGCAATAGAAAACAATAATCTAACCTTCAGACCGCACTTTGAATTCAATGTATGGCATATTTCCAAGAACTTTCATAACATCTTCATATTGACTATCCGTCAAGTTTCTAAGAATCAGTCTTCTTTCCTCTCCTTTTAATTGTGCAAATTGTTGAAGGCTCTTAATTTGGCGCTATCAAATAAATATATATACAACATTTGCTACCTTTGATTATATTTACAAAAAATTTGCAGTAAAATAATATTAAAGTAATTACTTTTTTGGCTAGAAAGTATTTTAAATTATCCTCAGAAATATGTGGAAGTTGAAGAAGAGGATTTTTAAATTCCCAGAATGCTTGAACAATCATTGGACACAGTTTCATACAATTTTCTATAGTTTTTATACTGGGTACTCGCGGAACTAGAAAAGAATATATTTACATTTATAAGAAATTCATTAAATTATTTTATATGTAAATATATATGATAAATACCTCGTTTTGCATAAGCTAGAAAAATTACTTGATTGACACATGCAACCATTTCTTGAATTAAATATGGACATTTCTTTACAATATACTGTCTATCTTTATCTAATGTTTCCGGATTTAATGATATACGTGACAAATGTGCATGAAGTAAAGCTCTAGCTTTTATTGAATACAGATGACATAATGGTATTTCTTTATTTTTTTCTCCTAAGTTAGTTAATTGCTTGATAAGCTGAAAGTATTAAGATATATTGTATATAAAATATAAAAAAAAAACAATTTTATAAAGATCTTACCGAAGGAACTT